CTCGAAAGAAGAATCAGAGAAATTGAATATGTAAAACTGACTTGCCGGAATGGGAACCGTTTAGAGGGAACAAAGAATCTGGAAACAATACCTAACGGCGATTGTTTAACTTTATGAGAAGTAAATCCCACCCAAAAAAAGAAAACATTAGCCTAAAATAAAACAACATGCAATACGGTAAATGATTTGAAAAAACGGCATACATGTTGATTATTTGTGGTGACGTGGACAGCCTCATTTGGCTTCATTTGCCCCTTTTATTAATAGTAGATATCTACCACCACAATATTTAACAATGAAGCTTTGCATTGATTTTGAAACCCACAGTTTCATTTCCTTTTTTCTTTTTTTTTTGGCTGTGTAGATATTTATATTTTCACAGCAAAAACTATGTTCTGAAAATTTATTAATAAATCTGTAAATTTTATAATACATAAAATCACAGCAAAAATGTTTACAACAAAAAGAATACACTGTATTTTCAAAAAACTAAAATTACGTACTTCCTGTTACTCACCCATCTTTTGTTCCCCTTACCAATGATCATATCGAATAATTAGATATCCTGACGGTTTGGTGTCTTTGGGATGATAAAGATTTTATTTCGATTTTCCGTTCTATTTATTGCACATATTTTTATAATTTAATTTAAAGTTGTATTTTCTTTGAATTTTATTTAAGTAAATCATTATTTTACTGAATCATGGATTTTTTTTAAAAAAAAGTTTAATGATTATAAATTTTGTTAGATTTTAAGTAGGATTTGGAGATTTTGTGTTATTTTTAACATTATTAAAGAGCGATTCAAATATTAGAAATGTTTTTGAAAGAACTTCAGTGTATTTTTGTAGTATTACACAAAGATTATGATAAATGAAAGTAGAAAAACAAGAATAGCATCCATCATTTCAAATAACGTAATTAAGAAAGGTCTCATAAAACTCAAAACAATTTCCTCAGGATTACTGGTTAAGCTATCAGTTTGTGGAAACAAAACCTTGATTTCCTCCATGAATGACCTCATAAGCTTCGTATACTAATACATGAAAATTTCACACCCCGTAGAGCTTCTTGGAATCGATTTGATTTCATCGACCATGTTCCAGAAAGTTCGACTTAGAGTCAGTTCCTTGAGAGCTGCACCATTCTCTAGAAAATATTTTACTACTTTCATATGACTTGATGCTCCCGTAAGTGGTATCCCTTTCCTTTCTCTGTTTACCTGGTAATAGTCTAAAACAATGCTAGGTGTCTTCAGTTCAACAAACTCAAGAGATGATTGGAAACATTGTGGCACTAATGAAAGATCAAACTGCTCCATCTCTGGAAGATCGTCAAATTTCTGAAAAAAAAAAAAATTAAAAATAGCCAGAGAAGAGTTAGAGTTAGCAAAATAAATCTTTTGCATGGGTAAATAAGACGCACCAAGATGACAGAGTGTAGATCTGGGCAACTCTCAAGTAAGACTGGCAAAATATCCCAGTCAATTTCTTCCAAGCAAGCATCCAAGAAACACAAGTTGGAGAATTTAGGTAGCTGTTCCATTTCACAGTAACCACGAATAACCTGTCCATAGAGGAATAACTAAATACACGAGTTCACTGAGAAATAAGATAAACGAAAAAATGGTACCAGCGTAATGCTATTGAATATAACCTGTAGAGTGTTAGCAGAGATGACCATGTCGCTGACTGTAGATAAACCAGTGAGAAATTTACGGAGCATGGCAATCTTGGAAGGCTCATCATATCTTCCAGTAACGCTAACATCAATATCAACCTTTGCATAGGGACCAATACTGTGTATTATGAAGCTGTTAGACACCTGAACATCGAGAGTCAAACACTCAAGTTTTGGAGCATCAATTGCAACAACATGAAGATTCTCACAGTCGTCAGGTGAAGACTCTAATTTGAAGCTCTTTAGTGACTGGGAACGCACACGCACAGACACCAGAGAGTCATTGGGAAGACCACGGGATATGGTCAACTCCTCGAGAACAGGACAGCTCGATATTAAAGTCTCTAGAGTCGAATCACCACGTTCGTAGATGACCAACCCTAGACGCATAATCTTGAGACAAGGAAAGGATACAGATTCTTCAGGATGATCCAAGAACACGCTGCAGAGCTTTAGCGTCACCAGTCTCTGGCATGAGTAGAGAGATGGAGGCATCTTAACTAACGTACCATCGTGCACATCAACAAAAGCATTGAGATGAATAATCCCACGCCTAGTCACTGCATCGATCCAAGACTTGAAACGAGATGCATCATGCTCATCAACCCAATAGAACAGCTTGAATCTCTTCAAGTGTTGGTCATTTTCAGAACACAGAAACCTATCCATGAAACTCACAAAATCATCTCTGATTCTTGTGTAAGACAAGTCGAGTGATGGAACATTTAGCCAGAGGTTTCTCCAACGTTTGGATAAGACGCTGGTGCGAACCGATTCGTTGGTGGGAAAGCCAGAGAGGATCTTACATAACAACGCATCAGGTAGATTACTTAACCTATCCAAGTTCCTTTGATTCACGCCCATGTCTCTAATGCCTAAGTCTACATGAAATTTGGAGACCACAAAGATGGCAAACAGATATTTTGTCTAATTTTATCCCTTTTTTTTCATCCTAAAGTGTCGACACTCATCATACAGAGTAGTTTTCTCTGTAAGCACCCCCTAGTGGGCTTTGGATACCAAGAAGTGGTTGAACTCATTAACTGTTTGGGACCCGATTTTGGGAAGAGCAACACGTTTTGTGGAAAACTTTTTACCTCTTTACTTCTCTATCTTCCTACTTTGCTTGTTATCCTCAGAAAATTAAGTGTTTTCACCTAACTTTTTTTCATACCTTCAAAGCTGGTGGGTAGTGAGCATTTATTTCAACGTGAGAAATAAAAGATTTTATAAGTTACTGAAGATGTCTTTAGCTATGGATAGAGCTCTATTAGAAATGTTTTTGAAAGCTATGATAAATGAAAGTAGAAAAACAAGAATAGCATCCATGATCCAAATAACGTAAGGACACAAAGTGGTCTCATAAATCTCAAACGATTTCCTCGGGATTACTGGTTTAAGCCATCAGTTAATGCAAACAAAACCTTGATTTCCTCCATGGGTGACTTCATAACTAATTCATGAAAATTTCACACCCCGTAGAGCTTCTTGGAATCGATTTGATTTCATCCAGGATGTTCAAGAAACTCTGACTTAGAGTCAGTTTCTTGAGAGCTGCACCATTCTCTAGAAAATATTTTGCTACTTTCATATTACTTGATGTTCCTGTAACTGGTATCCCTTTCCTTTGTCTGTTTACCTGGTAATAGTCTAAAACAATGCTAGGTGTCTTCAGTTGAACAAACTCAAGAGATGATTGGAAACATTGTGGCACTAATGAAAGATCAACCTCCTGCTCCATCTCTGGAAGACAATCAAATTCCTGGGAAAAAAAAAGTTATCATAAATCTCATTGTGGTTTAGCATGAGAGCATGCGTAAATGAAAACGCACCAAAACGAGATCGTGTAGATTTGGACAACTCTCAAGGAAGGTTGGCAACATTTCCCATGGATTTTTATGGAAGCAAGCATTCAAGTAAGACAAGTTGGAGAACTGAGGCAGCTGTTTCATTTCACAGTGATCATGAATAACCTGTGCAAGCAAAAAAGAAAAAGAAAAGAGTTTACTAAGAAATGTGATAACAAAATTGTACAAGAATAATGCTATTGAATAAACCTTGTATATATAATACATACATTTAGAGTGTCAGCAGAGATGGTCATGTTGCTGACTGTAGATAATCCGGTGAGAAATTTACGGAGCATATTTATCTTGGAAGAAACATTTGGCTCATTAAAGAGAACATCAATGTCGTCTACCTTTGCAGAGGGACCAATACTATGTATTATGAAGCTGTCAGATTGGTGATCACGAATAATCATAGACTCGAGTCTTGGAGCATCAATTTCAACAACAACATGATTATCACTTTTCCAACGTCCACACTCTATTCTTAAGCTCTTTAGTGACTCTGAACGCACACGCACAGCTTCCAGAGAATCATCACAACGGGCTATGGTTAACTCCTCGAGAACAGGACATCTCGATATTAAAGTCTCCAGAGTCGAATCAGAATCGTACTTGAGCGTCTTCAGAAACATAATCTTGAGACAAGGCAAGGATACAGATTCAGGATGATCCAAGGACACTCGGCAGAGACTGATATTCACCAATCTCTGACATGAATAGAGAGATAGAGGCATCTTAACTAAGATACCATCGTCCATATCAGTATAAACATTGAGATGAAGAATACTACGGCCAGTCACAGCATCGATCCAAGACTTGAAACGAGATTCATCATGCTTACCAACCCAATAGACCAGCCTGAATGACTCCAAGTGTTGCTCATTTTCAGAACACAGAAACCTATCCATGAAACTCGCAAAGGCATCATCACCTCTGAAGTTTCTGGAATATATTTTCAATACTGGAACATTCAACCAGAGGTTTCTCCAGCGTTTAGATAAAACGCTGGTGCAAACCGATTCCTTGATGGGTAAGTCAGAGAGTATCTTGCATAACAAGGACTCAGGTAGGTTGCTTAACCAATCAAAGTTCTTTTGATTCTCTTTAACAGAGGTGTCACTATCCATGTTTAGTGCCTAAGTCTGAGATTTAACATGTAAATTGGAGATAGCCAAGTTAGAAGACGGTCAACGGTCAATGCATATCTCCAGGAATTTAAAAAGAAAAAAAATAAAACAGAGATTACCTATTGAAATCACCTTCTGAGTAAGACGAAACCACTGTAAGTTCTCCGGGAAGTTACTACACAGATGTTCTCGATGGGGCAGAAATAGAAGAAACTCTCTGTTCAAGGAGTTAGCTTAGGTTTAAAACCCTAGTTAATAATATATATATATATATATATATTTCAAATGCAATGTAATTTCACACATTGATTTATCTTTTTACCTTATATAAATTTAAAAAGATGAGGAAATTTCAGTTATACCATAAATTTGATACTACTATTTTTCAAATTAACAATAAGAGCAAAACCGGACATTTGACTTTTTATTGATTAACATAAAAATTCTAGAAACAGAAACTATAATTAATTTGAAACAGAGAAATATATATAATATTCTAATAGATATAAGAGATATAATACGAGCAAGAAAAGTTTTTATTGTAATTTTAGGATTTTTTGCATAGGTTTGTGTAAGAAAGTATTGAATGAA